TGATGATGATGATGATGATGATGATGATGATGATGATGATGATGATGATGATGATGATGATGATGATGATGATGATGATGATGATGATGAATATGTAAAGAGCATTCAACATGGAGTCCGCAAAAGACATTCCCAGCCAGATTGCTACGAGATTCTTTGTTTCTGAAGAAGTCAGTTACCAGACACTTATAATCTGAGATCTCGTTCTTCAGTGACTGATTCCGTCCCAGTAGAGTTGACTATTCACTGAGAACGAGTGGAAATACAGGCGTTTCCGGGGCCACACGACAACGTCGAGGACCGATGTGCATACGGATTACAGAGTACTCAGGAAGGGTGTCGCAGTAACTCGTGGAAACAGCTCTCCCGACTAGGGTTGTGGGGTCAGAAAATATTTCCCATTACAATTACATATTGAGGAAACGAATCTCCAAGAGCCGCAGAGAGAAAACACTCTGGTGTCTCAGATGGTTGTTTGCTTCCAAGCAAGCAAGCGACTTTTACTGTGCAGAACGACAAAAGAGATAGCCAACTGGCACCGGCTCGCTGTATTAGAGGTTCCTTAGGCACACGGGTCAACCGGACTGGGGGCTAGATCAGTCCACCGAGCCCACTTACGAGTTATATTACTCACAATATCGTTTCAGTAGCCAAAAGTCGACGCTCGAGAACTCAGTAGGGGGAGCCTGAAGGTAATGTAACCCTCGGATTTTTTGCTGATCCCAGGTGTATATGGACGTAATCGCAAAAGGTAGTAAGCAGTTGAGGCAACCAAAGAACAAGATGAAGTGACTCGAGGTCCCGACAACAGTCATTGCTTCATGTGGATACAAGTCCTTGATAACTTAACATGCTTAGTGGTTCCTATTCAGTTCACTTAATTGCTTATGTCCCACAGGAATTAGTCTGACGACCCATGCTGTGCTAAGTGCGCATCACTGCTATGCAAGAGTGCTATCGCATGCCTGGAGAATCCGCTTCCATACCAATACAACTGTCGAAAACATCCAGATCAGAAAGAACTCTAATTAAAATAGCACAGGGGGCATGTGATACGGTTACTGTGGCCACCACCATGCGAAGGAACGGCCGCATCATGTGATACGGTTACTGTGGCCACCACCGTGCGAAGGACTAGTGCGGTAATAATACTAGGAATACTATGGGCAATATTAATATCAATCACAACAGTGATCGTACAGCCGTGGTATCCCTTCAGTGGACCCCTACAGTGCAAGTCGAAAGAAAGCGCAAGGATTGTGATGTTCCAGAGGTTCGAAGCCAAAACAGGAGCAACCGAAAAGCCAGGGTTGGGTTTGAAGAGAGGGCTTGCCGATCAACGGTCTCGTACCCTAGCTGCGGGCTATCTCTTTTGTGCTTATGAGACATTCCGAAATACCCGAAGATGTCATACTGAAGTCTACTATAGGCCAGCAGTTGGTCGGGATAAGAATCCCACTTGGTTCATGTTCGTCAGCTGCGCAAACAGGTCGGAGAGCGTGTTACTTTGGGATTAACAACCCAAGACGGTTAGGTATGATGTGATGCGGCTGATCCCTTCTAAACAAGGAGAGAAGACTTTGTGCGGGGGAGTTCTTGTGTGTGGGTCCAAACATATCTTTACCGTTAAAATTCAAAAACTCTGGCGCTAAACTGGGTGATCGGCCTTGGGCACCCCAATAAAGTATCTATCGTCCAGAGCACCGCTTTGGGTAAATCTTACGAGCTAAACTGGGTGATCGGCCTTGGGCACCCAGAGCACCGCTTTGGGCAAATCTTACGCAGTAAGATTTCCCCTCGTAATCAGCTCATTTCTCAAAGCTCAAACCTACTGCCAAGCTTAATATATCCACTCACATCGACTACAAATATTTGCCACATACTCACGGCCCAGCAGACTAGTTTAGCATTGTGTTCTTTCCAGTGAACTGAAAGCTAATTTGTTAGACAGCACCGACTGGGGTGACCAAGTTCTTCAAGCTTACGAACGACGTGAAAAGTGTCGCGTAGTCCTTCAATCAAACTACGTACGCTGTCTGGTATTAGCAACGACTATGAAAGGCCCTAACACCCAACCGTTACAGTTTAGTAATAGGTTAACCCGATAGAGAAAGATATCCTGACTTCTTCAGGATAAAGATGTACTTTTTAGTCGGCAAAGTACATGGACTGAACTCACATTGAGGTAAGGTGTTGCGAAAGTGCACAGAAAAATGGGAAAGAGAAAACAAAGTGGAAGCCAGGGTACTAACCTGTCCCAAACAGTATCTGGCATGTACTGACAAACAAACGTCTGTGTTAGCAATGTCGCGACGCCGTGAATGAGGCTCACATCTGCGGGAAGCTGACCCACACCAATGACTTCGGAGACAGTCTCAGAAGAGACAAGCAGGCAGAATTCAGCTGTTTTCATCAAGGTCCACAGGTCCGACCTACAACGAATAGAGAAAGCCAGGTTGGCGGAGGGAACCGAGGAACGAGCAGTGGAAAGATGGATGGACAAATCACTCACTTCAAACCGGATCGCTGATCAGTCGAAGTGAGAAACTCTCCTGTCGTGATTAACTGGGCCACAGAATGAAGGCACTGTCCCGAGACATGGGCCATGATTTGTCGAGCAAGCCCAGCCGGGCAAGTTTTTGACACCAGTCCCCATAAATCAGATAAATGCCGGTAGATCAACAAAGCTGATGTTTCCGGCGTCAAATGGTCAATCAAGGATTGATCAACAGTGTGCTGCTGACATTCCATGAGTTCATTGGCAAGATGCTCTCCGTGTTGAATCGACAAATCCACTAGATGCTCACTGAGTGCACGTATAGCATAATCATACTGTTTCATAAGTTCGGTCAGTTGGCTGGATCTGTAAAAAACAGACGAGAATATGGAAAGGAAGATTGCTAAAGTATTTGTGGGTTGAGTTGGCCAATCAAATTATTCAGCACCAGTTCGTCGATCCCACAGAATCAAAGGCTGCTCCTTTCAGGAAAATATATATTTTTTGAAGGAAACTGCGCACAAGGTTGCTAAAAACTCTTCGACAGCCCTTGTTTGGGCTCATTAGGTGGGCACCGCCCTTGAGTTTTCATCAATCTTGTGTTTCACTTGGACTCGAATTGGTTTTCACAGAAGACCCAACTGAATCGTAGCTGAACCTCTCGTGTATGATATTCTTCAACGAGCTTATTAGCACGAAGGCCGCCTCATGTTTCGGTTGGTACCAGTCATATGTCGTACGTCCCTCTGACATCCTGATGATATGTTTTATTGCACATCTCGTCAGGTAGCCTGTAGAGGAAGCTTATCAAGCACAGTAAACATCGAGTTGAAAAATAGCATAAACGATAGATTCAGCTGGGATTGAGTTGAAACCAAATCGGTGTGCGAATAAGAATGCTGGGTGTAAAACGTCCTACTTTGTAATTTCAGCGACCATGGATTCCTTTAGCTTTGCTCAGGTCATACTAATCATAGACGATGCTGTCTGGAACTTCGGAGCTGGACTCTTCTCACCACTAGATATAGCTTTATTCCATCCATTTACAGTAGTGTTCTCATAAACGATAGATTCAGCTGGGATTGAGTTGAAACCAAATCGGTGTGCGAATAAGAATGCTGGGTATAAAACGTCCTACTTTGTAATTTCAGCGATCAAGGATTCCTTTGGCTTTGCTCAGGTCATACTAATCATAAACGATGCTGTCTGGAACTTCGGAGCTGGACTCTTCTCACCACTAGATATAGCTTTATTCCATCCATTTACAGTAGTGTTCTGCCCGACTGAGCCTAAATGGTATGTGCACGCATCAAGAGTGTTTTTCCGTCTCCATAAATATTTTCAACGTTGAGGACCTTGATGCACTTAATGGAAACACCCTATGCTCATTTTCAAACTGAGAGCACGTTTCAGCTTTGAGATACTCATCCTCCTATCCACTAGAATCCCTCGTTCGAGTATTGCTGAGTAGCGGAAGAGTACTGGTTTGTAGTGAGCAAAATGACAGGGTCTGACGATCACTGTACAGCCGTATCGTGTCGGTGCACCGGTGTGCTTCGATACACGTGTTCAGGGCTATTGAATGTCTGTAGTACTCACTGATATCTAGGCAAAAATGTCTCCCCGTCCCGGTAACTGATAGACAAATATTAACAGGGAAACTCACAAACATCGGAAACTTTGTTGGCCGAGTGCCGCAGGCTATTCATAGTAGTAACCTGTAGACATTTCGGTCTTATCAACGGTAGGGGGCGAGATGGCTCGAGTGGTTAGAGAGCGAATTTACTGACCGGAAGGTCCGTGGTTCGAACCCGACCTCTGCCTCTCGACTTCCCCTGTCTAGGTTTGGACAACCTGGCAGTATCCCAGCCTTCGTGCTTTCTTCGGTGGCATGGCAGCTAGGCACAAAAAGGGTGTTACAGCTGAATGATATTAACGGTGTATCCCCGTGGTTGGGATGATGCACTCATAAGGTCCACGCATCTGCTCATTGGCTGGGGACATGGGGTGGCGAAATTGATGTGTTAGACGCCCGAGGATACAAACCTATCAACATAACAGTCGCTGTGGATAGTAATCTAACGTAGATTGGACGTCAATGGGAAATAGCACACATGTGAGTGCAACTCACACATCATCCGAGGTCAACAAGTTCAACGAGTCCGACATGCTTGATATTGGGATTTTAAATTTGTTCACAAATACAGCGACCAATACGTTGCAAAGGGAACGAAGCAGCAGACAATCCGACATGCACAACGCCAAGCGCTCCAAATTTCTTGCTTCTTCGTCACTACCGGTAGAGAGTACAATATTTCCGATTTGAACCATAATGCCCGTACCGACTTCGTCTTCGGATGTGGATGTTTGATGACCACTCAAGAAGTGAAGTAGTGTACCCAGAGCGTCGAGGACTATTGAGCGAAAACTGTTTTCCTCAGTTTCCCTTTCCGAGTCGTTTGCAAAGTTAGAGGTTATTGGATAACCTGGACTACTGACAACCGGTGGTGTCTCTTTATCAGGTGGCGATAATGTGAGATGTTCCAGCAGATGGGAGATGTTGTAAGCTATGGGGTTTTGTAAGTCTGCCTCCATCATGCTGATCAGTACGGGCGTTACTGTTGAAATGACGAAGGATACGAAATCGGAGGTCGACTGAGGGGGGGGGGGGGGACGGAACAAAATTAAGAAAGGAGTATCAACGAGTGAATAGAATAAACTGTTGTAAAAAAAGACTGGAACTACTCAGACTTGAACCGGCACATCTTGACTACTTACCACTTGGGTGACAATCCACCACAAGCGAATGCCGATCACGAGGGACAGAATTATGAAAACTGGCCCACGATAGCCACTGATACCAAAAACATTTATTGATAGGCTCGACAACATTCCGAATCCTCGCCACGAGATGCCTCAGTGGTTAGACCACGAATTTACTGACCCGAAGGTCAGTGGTTTGAATCTCGACTTTTACTGTCTAAACTTTGCCAACCTGGCAGTATTTCGACCCTCGTGGTTCATTCTGGTGGCATGGCAGCTAGGCATCTAAAGGGTGTTACATCCGAACGATTATCTTCATCTACCGAAAGAAGAGAACAAGTGTCGTGTTGCTTCGTGGCGGCCTACACAGAAAGGATTACTGTACCAATACAAATGATTAATAATATTCAGGCGGACATGGAACACAACGTCCCTCGACGCGGGCGTCAACAGACGTCACCGATGAAGATTTGGGGTGAAGCCAGAGGTTCACCAAACCAGAGATAAAACAGACAAACCGACAGGCTTTTATACACCATGAACTCAAGTTGCATTCTGAACCGAGTGGTATTGAAGCGATGCTACTAACTAACTGGATGCCGTATGACTTAGAAAACCGCCTGTTCATAAGTCAGTCATCAGGTGGTGATAAAATGGTAACCAGTTACACACGTTTTTTGTCGCAATAACAAGCTAACGCTAAGTTGTTCGCTATCGAATCTATAACTTATCACTTAACCTTGGCAGTAGTTTGAGAGACAACGCGCTTTTATGTGTTGTGCGTTTATATATAAGTAAATACTCCCAATTTTGCTCGACAGGGGAAGGGCCTCTTCCGAGCACAATCGCCCCGATATCTTTGAACAGATGGATGCTGTCGTGTTCACTAGCGATCAAAACTCTTCTTAATAGCAGACTAATGAGGAACTAACTCACTTTGCTAACGCAGATGGATGGATAGGGTAGTCCAGCTCCAGTCCCTACGGCACCCATCCACGAACCTGTGGTACTTCGGCTGGTGAAACCGTAGTAAAACTGTTGAGTTTGCTCTCCCTTTGCCGCGGGTAACTCATCAGAATGTTCATCCACAATGCTGCACCCCACATTGCCAAACAGTGGTCCATGAAGTGAGGTGGCGAACAATGGTACTTGAAGAAGGAGACTGATAACTGAACTATCAAGTGATGCACTAGAATCGCCACCGTCAACAGGTTGATCTACCCCGGATAGGTCTAGTTCCTTGGGGTCTGAGCCCACAGTGACCATGGCGATTCTTCGACGTAAACTCCTATGAAAGAGTATGTTGAACATGTTGGCGAATTCGGAATTCGAAAGATGACGTGGCCAGTTCAGTTTGTAGCTGAAACGCGTATCCGCTCGTGCTGACTCATCTGAAAATGAAAACAGAAAAAAATCTTATGCTGCCGTGAGCCGCAAAATGTAAACATGGGTTCAACGTGCGACCCTGTGTCCGCTGCGTATGTCATACAAGCACTGGAATGAAAAAAATCACCGCTCTCTTCTAACCGAAGTGACAATTCTTCTAAGACCGAGTCATCCGGATCAGCCTTTGCAATTGTGTTCAATTGATCCGAACCCAACCCCGAGAACTCGACTGCTCCCGTGTAGGCTTGAGCAACCTAGAAGTACCCCCAGCCCTCATGCTTCCTTCATGTGGCGTGGTAGCTAGGCCCTGAAAGGGTGCTCCAGTTGAACGATGCACTTTTTTGCGTGAGTGGGTATAGCATGAGAACAACTGTTCAATTACACAGAATCACAGTTCACCACATATCGGTAAAATGCAGAAAGGCCTATTTGCAAACCGAAGGGGCATACTTGCAGTTTAGCTACAATGCTTTCAGTAGTACGTTCAAAATAGTTTGAAGAGGCCGAACACATCCATCAAGAGACTCCCATCATTCATGTGTTATCTGAACGAAAAAAGAGGCGCTGGAGCATCTCTCAATTTCCTCCAGAAGTTTCGGACAATGATGGAAATAAGCAACAAGCCAATTTGTGAGGTTTTTAAGACTACAAAAGAAAGTCTGTCGCTTGAAATTTTATGAAACTCTCATCAACTTTCATTGAATTTGGATGATCTATGGGTCGCTTCATAGCGCCGATCAAAAGCGGCATCAAAAACTCAGCTCCATTATTGCTTCCTGCGCTCTGAAAGTAATTTTGTCCCCAACCTATTTTCCATGCCACAACTGAGCGTCAGAGGAGTGGGCTTTGCATATGACAGTGATGAAAAATAACCAAAGTCTACCAGGAGATGAGAAGTACAGAGACGATGGGGCAATAACGTACGAGAATTGAGAACCAACTATTGGTGAATGTTAGAATAGTCCTGATGTTATGATACGTGTCATTTGACACACAGGCGCCACCGTTTAATCGCACTGACCTTTTAGCCTACCGGAAGGTTGATTATCCGTACGGGTTGCTTACTGTAACGCATAGATCACTGTCCTCCTTACAGCATCTACCTCTTTCTAAGCCAGCTGCACGTTCATGAAGGAAGTTTTTTTAAAAAAAGTACTTTGCGGAACGATGCAGTCATCCATGATAACAAGACATAATGGGCTGTAGTTTGTAGTCCCCGCTCGAAAAAACCCACAGGCCTATATTCTAAGGATTGTTTACTGTAGAGAAGCGAACAGGTCCGCAGTAACAAAGTTTCGGTACATAGCTGCGTGAAATCCGTGGAAATCAAACGGGCTGAAATATTTTCGGGCAAATACTTGAGCACTAAGGGATGGGTATGGGACACGCACTTTCAGGTTAGAAGTTCACACCTGAAAATCTAGAGGATATCGAGTGTTATTTGTTAACGATTCAGCAAATGCAAGGAATACTAGCTCGAGTCAAACATGTGTGGAACTGCATACAAGACAAAAATAACCCACCTTGTGCGGTTGCAGCACAGGATTCACGTTGATTCTTGAGAACTCCTGAAACGTATTAAATGATGCTAAACAGGTTGCCAACAAACACACGATGATGATGGGAAACAAAAATAGATACCAGTTCACTAAATTAATGAAATTAATTGGGAAAATGGACAAAAACTGCTTATGAAAAAGGACAGAAACAACTGCATCGACTAGTTTTATAGTCTATTAGTACAAGTGTTTCTTTCATTGCAACAGAGTTTACTTGTTTACGCAACAGCAGTCATGTAGCGAAATGAAGTAAAGAGACGAAATTAGAGGGATCTAGCACAAACCTAAACAGCTAAACCTTTAAGCAATCAATTTGAAGTCGGTCCGAAATAAAATTTCCCAGTTGACATAAGTTACTACATTGTTGGTTTGTGTCATTTTAAAGTTGGTAAGTTGGATGGCATCCTTCTCCACGGACAAGAATCCGGCATAGGTGGCGTGTTACCGGACTACTTCAACCAGTGGTAATCATCTATGGTGGTTGAAACACAGAAGTAACAGAAACCTACCCCTACGATTGTGTTACTCCCTCAGCTAATCACAGACCACTACACCTGTTCGTTGTCAAACTATCCGAAAGTATGGACACCCACGGAGACAAGACTGACTGAATATAAAACACTGGACTTCAGGAAAGCATGGTGTGGCCATAAATGCATCCAACTTGTACGTTATTCTGCCTCAACATGTGTGAAGTCTGGAACACAGACTTTTTTGAGCCATAGAACTTGGAGGAAGGAACATCCTGTTTCTAAAATCACCGCGATGCATGTACCTTTAAGTTTCGATGCTGTTATCTCCACTCCCCGGTCACCCAGTATCCAGGCCATCTCCGAGGTGGAAGTGCCAGATATGGCAACATAGTCATCATCATTCTTCGAGCTTTGCAACGTTTTCGGATCATCTGAAGTCGTCTCGACGGCGAGTGGAAAGAGTTTGGAAGAAGGTTCCCCCTCTTCAGTTACAGGAGCCACTTCGGGATTTTGGCCACCTGAGGTCGCACACATTTCGCTCAAAGCTGAAGAAATATTGGCCCAACTTGTAAGCAGTTGGCAAAATGCCAAGAGTAAAGTCTCTTCTGTGAAGCAGTCGAGTGGATCTGCAATAATAGTGATCTAAAAAAAGAACAAACCAACAAATAAATTTGTCACTTCGGATACAGTCGCCACGTTAAACTAATAAGCAACTAATCAGTTAGTTGCTCATAGTCCAGGTAAGAGAGACGCATCAGAATGTGGAGATTGCTAAATCTCTGATCGCATTCCGTTGAGTTCCGTTTTTTATTTGCAAACCATGTACAGGTGGGGAAGAGACCACGAGGGATTGAGGATGATGCCACAACCAAACTTATACTTTTCCGACTATGTAAAGTGGCACAGTGAAGCCTACGACTTTGATGCAAGAGCGCCATTGGCCAACCAGTCACCCAACGTTGCCTAAATTCGCTGCTGAGACGAAAACCGATTTCCAACATGGTATGGTCGCCTGAATGAGCCGAACCAGGTATGCTGGGTCGATAGCCTCGTCTCACTTCCTGTTGAAACTTCTGATTAGATCAAGAACATGTGGCTCGGAGAGGAAGCATGAAATATTTAAATCAACGAGGGGCCGTAGCCGTATTGAATCACATCATTTACCAGAATGGTGAACCATTGAACCAATCCATCATTGAGTAGACATTCTGACGACATGAAAGTTACCTAGTCAATCGTTCTTACCCATAACTATCAATCTAGCACGTGCTCCACATCTGCCTGTTTTGCGAACTTTTCATGGTCCCTATTTCATTTGGAATACGCTGCGGACAACTGAAGTGTGAGATTATGCGAATGAGTGGATTAGTCAAGGTCCACAAATGTTTAAACACTCGAGGATCGGAGGAGACAGGTTCTTCGAACGGCTGTTGGCCATTTCGTACATTGCCGTAGCTTCTAGTGTGCTGCTGGACTGCTCAAGTGGTGCAGGGAGTAAGAAACATAACCAAACGGAAAATGCGTGCATGCATAAGTTCAAGGATTTGACAGAACATGAGATGGTAGGATAGACGGATAGGCGGATAACGTCACTACGCAATTGTTAACCAACATCAATAGACATACCATAAGTCGGACGACAAACTGCATTCTGACCAAAAACACGTACAGGTAGTCCGAAGATGGGGAATCTAGCGCAAATGATACTACACGCTCTTCAGCGTAGGAATTCCTAGGATCCTCATCTAGACGCTGGGTAGGTAAACGACTTCAAAATTCAATAATCGTACGACACACATTCGCTCTCCTAACACACAATAAATTTGCTTCCTGGACTATGCGGTTCTACAAGCACTCACATTAAGCAAAATCCCCAAGTGATCCTTGGTGCCGTCGCTTTCGAGGGGATCACTCAGCCGCTTCTGGCAATGCAAGTTTACCGTATACTCCTAAAGAGAATTCTTTGGTCCGTTTCAGAGTAACACCACCCAGATAAAGCCTACCTGCTGCTTTGAAAATGTCAATCAATGGCACAGCAGCATCAACTAAATGGCGCCAGGTATACTACTTGTAGAAGGGTTTACGGATATTTTCTTGGAAGCTAAATGTACCGGGAGAGACAGAGTCGGCTCAATGGTTAAGGTGCGAATTTAGTGACCAGAAAGTTAGTGGTTCGAAACTAATCCTAGCATTTCGACTGCTTCCGCCTAGGCTTGAAAAACCTGGCAGAATCTTAGCCATCGTATTTTCTTCGAGTGGCATGGTAGCTAGGGAAAGAAAAGGTGTTAAAACTGAACGATGATTTTTGAATGACATTAAATGTTTGAGTAAAAAAACGTAAGCTGCTAAGACATAAAGAAGGGTTTAGTGTAGTTCACAAAGATAGCCACAAGGATGCGAGCGTGGCATTGTGCCCAATGGTTTTAGCTGTGCGACACAGACCGAAACATAAATACCAAAGGAATCATCACACGTAAGTGGCGCTAGACATATGGTACGTGCATTTGGTAGAGATAGATTATTTCAACAAAACCTCGAGGGGTGAGAAAGTGACGTAAACTCACGGGTACGAGCGCCTTTAGCTCCTCGACATAGTCCAAAAACTTCAGAGTACAAGCTTCGGCAAAACCTAGCAAAATCTGGGCAGGTGCATGTGAGGAACGAGTATCGACGACAAAACTTTCGACTCGCTGAAACGCTGCAATCCACTTGTGTATGCGGTCCAGGCATGGCTGTGACCTCGAATCAAAAAGACAGGTCTCCAGAAGTTCCACCAGCTGTTTTGTTAACCTTTCAAAATAATGCTTTTTGACGGTGTAAGACGTATAGGTACGCCAAAATTAATTACCTGCAGTAACGGGCAGTTTGGAATTGCAGAACAGATGGCAATGCAGTCAATTGCGGGTAGGAAAGAGTGCCCCTTGGCGAGGGTATTTCCTAATGATTCCCAAAGATGGTTTAGTTCTTCACTGGTTACGCATAATCGAACATGATGACGCAACAAGAGTAGCACGTCCAGTACATCCAAAGCTGCCTCAAAGCGCACGGCATTGTCAACGCCATTTCTACCGTTAATATAACATATCTGGAGCAAATGAGAATGGCAATAAACATACCAGCTGTTTTACGAGAGAATCGGTGTCAGTTGAAGCGAGAACCTGGTGATGTGTTGTAAGTCGGTACCCACATACTTTGGGTAGCACACCAGGCTGATCTCGCTCCTCCTCCGTTTCCGGTGCGCACCAAAGTGTTGCACTTGACATAGGAGAAAACGATGATAAGGAATTGAGGCGCTTACCGGGTACTCTGCACGTCCTTCTCCTTGTTATAGTAGGACCAAACGCCGGGAACAGCAAGTGAACTCACAATATTCATAACTTGATAGTGGGGTCAACGTAGAACGAAGGAGTTCTCAACGGACAATCATCCTGACCGGACAGTTCTCGCCACTAGAACCAAAACAAGCGGGTCAGATGGAGATAGGGGGCATCATCATCATTATAACCATCGAAAGCATGAAATCAATCTTCAACACTGATACTTCACTGCCGTACAACCACGATTTATTTGAAAGCCTCATTGTGAAGAAATAAATAAAAGTGGACGGGGATGGGACTAGGTACTAGCTCACTACAAGCGTTCCCAGTTGCTACACTTCCAGACACTCATTCAAGCAAGCTGTATAGAAACTGTCAGCAGCCATATCTTGCGGCGTCTCCAACCAGGTGCAATGGAAATCGTGCGATCCTCATCCTGGAAGACGAGTAGCCCCGACAGCACCCAGACGTTTCGTAGTCTCCTTCATACCCTATTTCCAGGTGAAGGACTGACTGCCTCTCTGTTTCCACCGCACCGAGTTTGGGAAGGAAAATAGTACTTTCTTCGGTAAACGATGGTTCGGTGTACGCAAAATGTGGCCTTACCAATACAGCATCTGGTGTTGGACAAATTCGTCGACGGGGGTCCCCATTGCACAACCGAACACTCGCCTTCTAACTGCCTCATTACGGATTCACCGACACGAAACAACATGAGCTATGGTGCTGAGACAATGGTTGTCAGAGATCTGAAGACATATCAGTTCCGCTGCTCGAACTGGCAACGTCTAACAGCCATAAAACAAAACAATCTGTACTGTGACCGAGTCAAGCCCTATGAAATTTAGTGATATACCGCTTTGACGCCATAGGTGTATCAACTTGGCAAACTTCACCCGAGCCTAGGAGATAAGTGCTTTGACCTCAAATGTCACACCGTACTCAGAACTAATACAACTTGCAAGGTATGTGAAACCCTCCACAAGTTCGAGTGCAGCTCCCTGGATTATAAGCGGCGTTTAGCAACTGCATCTCCAGGAAAATGACGTTGCATCGTGGGTGCGAAGAGCATGCCAAAAGAACGGAATGACTTTAGTCAGTTCATCCAAAAGCGCATGAACATTCTTCTGAGGGTGAGATGGCTTAGTGGTTAGAGCAAGAAGTTACCGACCAGAAGGTCAGTGGTTCGAACCCGACCAATGCCTCTCGACCTCCCCTGTCTAGGCTTGGGCAACCTGGCAGTATCCCACCTCTCGACATTTATTCGAGCGGCATGGCAACTAAGCACCAAAGTGGTGATACAGCTGAAAGATATGAGCATGCTTCTTTTCGGAGACGAGAACAATGTCATCCGCATATTCCAAACCAACGAGGTTTTCACCAGAGGCTACTTGAACACCAGGGATTTGAAAACCTTTCGGCTTTCGTTTCATCATCTAATCGATCAAGAAATTAATTAGGAATAGAGTGGGTACCCCTGGCGGACATTGCTATGTGTACGGAAGCTTTTCGGCAGCCCTCATACTCTCACACTCCCGAAAGTCTGAGAATGCAAAGAACTTATTAGGTTGACAAAATTCCAAGGTATTCCTTGATGGGCAAGGTCTGTTATTAAGAACAGACCGGTCGACTGAGTTGAATGCGCCTTAGAAATCCAGGAATACTAAGATTGTGGGTCACTTGTACGCATGACGTTATTCTAGCACCTGACGGAGCATGAAGATTTGGTCAACTCAACCCCTACTAGGCCATAACCCCACGTGCTGCTCTTAAGTCAGTGTCTCAGGAGCCATCACAAAGCAACGAATCACAAGTGAAGTCAACAGCCTCGGTATGACCGGCGGCAACCTGATGTTCCCGGGGTTATCACACTCATTACGAGCCTCTTTTTTTGGAAAACGGGCACTGTTACCGACGCTCCCAAGTTGTTTGGGACAGTCCCTTTCTCTAGAATGCAGGCAAACAAATCAGACAAGTGCCCTCCAAGATTATCAGCGAATTTGAGGGAGGATTCCGCACACGTTGTCAAGCGAGTCACAGGAGCGACAATCAACGGGCTACCAATCAGAGGCCCTCCAGCTCAGTGGCTTGTATCAATGCCGATCCAAAAAAGGACCAGCCGCAGCTCCATCTGGATCACCAGATGAGCGCAGCCAGGAGCAAGCGGAAAACAATGGGAGGCGCACGACACGGAATTCCGCAACAAAACTGTTTTACCACTCGCGGTTAGGCCTGACTACGGATTCACGGATTGATACACAGGAT